CACAGTGGCTGTGACATTGTGTTTGCAAGGTTTTGACATCTTTACAACAGTTTGTGTACACTTGTTCAGTTTTAGATGCATGTCTGCATTTGTCCTTGACAGTAAGAAGAACTTTCTTTTCTGTACAGTACGAGAGTCGCGCCTACTGCTGGAGGAGTCTAGTGTGGATGGATGGCTAAGTACACAAAACCCTGGACATCCCTTTCAGGCAAGGGGGGTTTGTGTCCAGTGTGTGTTGTTCAAGTAGTTTCCTAAATCTAACCAAAGTGGACAAAATGCAACGAAACGTATTTGCTCATTAGCACCAAATAAAAAGTACAGCTGAGGCTGATGGGAGTGTCGTTTTGGCAGGTATTTGGGCATAAACCAAAAGTACTGGACAGATCAAGATTGAAAATTTCACGCCAGTCCATTTAATATTTGTCAAGACGTTTTAGTCTGAACCACGGGGGCCGACTGTCTGACCAAACAGCATTGCGTTATCAGAACCAGGCTTCTAGCATGACTAAAAAGAAACTACAGGTTTAATAAACCAGATACTTTTGACTCCATGCAGATGGATGTGAGTACTGTGTAGTACTTTGGCCCAAGCCTGCATCTTGTTGAGGGAGACTGTGTTAAATTCTAGTTAAAACAAGACATTTGAGTTTATTATCATAGAAAACCAGGAAACTATCCACATTTAAGGAGCAGATATCAGTGACTTTGGCATTTTTGCTTAAAAAAAAAAGACAAAAGAGTAGGCAGGATTGTTGCCAGTTAGTTTTGTCAATCAACTAATCATTTAAGCAGTGATTATTTCCACAGGCATCCAGAAACCATTTACTTTGACTCCTTCCATTCACATAACTTTTCTTTTCATTCTTTGCTTGCATTTCTTAAAAAAACCCCCCCCCCGGCGGCACACGGCCAGGCTGCGTGCTGTTTAAAAACAGGCGAGACGTCCCCTCACTCCACAGGACTTTGTATACAGGTTCGTGATTTGCAAAGTGGATCGTTTCGAGCTCAAAGTACCATTCGTCCATTTCTCTCAGCAACGTTGGGTTCTGGATGTCCCAGTGAGCAAAAAACGTAAAAACTTCTAGATCCTTTGCAGCTTTGACAGATTACAGCCCACCGTTATCTCTCCCTGCTAAATCAGTGCTCAACAGAAGCAGCGTCCACATGGATTCAGCTCTTCTTGTATCTCCACTAAAACCCTGAAAACTAGTGCAAACAGTGACACCTGCTAACAGCTTGACATTAAACTTCCCACAAAGCAGGCAGAGCGCTGGTAAAATGAGACGCTGCACAGCCAGATAGTGATCGATAGTCTAATGGACGTAACATTCTCAGCTTTTAGTGTCTGATCATTAAACCTTAGCCTAAAACCACCATTCATGCCATCTCATGGAGGCTGGGAAGCATCTGTATGGTTCTGTAATGGTTTTATATTATGCCTGCAACTCCTTCAAAATGAGCAAGAGCCAAGGAAAGCAACACAAATGTACTTTATTTTCTTTAAACTGACAGGCCACCCTTGTTTTTGCCTCAAGGGTTTTTGTTTCCACCTAAGTGAAGGCACAAATGAACTAAAATCACTATCACTGACTTCCCAACAGCCCAAAAATCAAATTTAAAACTTATTGGTTTTTACATCTGTTAGCAGCCTGACATCTGCATGTTTATCTGATGCGTTTCTTCTATAAGAGACCTTTTTAGTTTACGGCTCCATGCATGTGGTGTCACAGCAGCACAGGAGTAGACTTCAGGTTGCTGCTCATTTTGTAAGAGGATGTTAAAGCCTCACTAGATAAGACTTTGATGGAAAAATCACTAGTTTCAGTGGCTTAAATTGTGCAGCAGAGAAGAGCATCCCGCTCATATAATATGATCAGAGGCGTTCATTACATCAACTAACAAATCTTTACATCAGATCCTCAAGCTGAACTGAGTACACAGAAGCATTATTGGCATCAGTAGGTTTCAGCAGTGGAGATCTGCTCGCTGAGCCTCCTCTGGCTGTCAACTGTCACACACAGTAGTGACCTCCTGTCTTTCCCATTCCCATTTTAACTGTCTTGTTAAAATCTTATAGCAAGGCCACGAACGCTACATTTGTGGTGTGATACTGGGATACTGACCTTGTGCACTGTGCTTCCAGAGGCCTAGTTTGAACTGAACTGATTGAGTTAGCATTAGGGGACCTGTGTGATGATTGTTTTATTTGTCTTGATTTATTTTTGCATGTCACACGCGGGGGTCCAATGAAATCTTAGTGTCAGTCTGTGTCAGACTGTACAGTTTGTGGCACATGGTGCAGTGAATGTCTGGTGAGTCATACACTGTACCAGGAGGCACGACATCGTTTCATGACATCCAGCTGCACCATCACTGCATTTTGAAAATGGAACTCTGCAAGATGCAGAGCTATTGCCTCTGCGCCAGCCAGAGCCATAGCTGGAGTTGTTATGTTTTTGGGTTTTCCATACGTACGTCCATACCTCACATCTGTCCCATTTTGTGAATATCTCAGAACGCTTTGTGGGAATTTCTTCAAATTTGGCACAAATGTCCACTTGGATTCAGTGGTGAACTGATTAGATTTTGGTGGTCAAAAGTCACAGTGACCTCATGTCTTTCCCATTCCCATGAACTTGCCAGGCAGAGCAGTGGTGCTAGTTTAAATGTTGCTCTGTGGCTGTTGGATGTGCAACTAGGAAAGCGTTTGCTAAAGGGTTTTACAAGGTCATAACACAGACAGGTGACAAATTAAAGTAAAAGGTGTTGGGCCACCAGAACAGCTTCGGTGCACCTTGGCATTGGCTCTCCAAGTCTCTCTCAACTCTAAATACCCCCACTGGTGAATGGCTGTTTTACAGGGTAAATATTTGATCAGGTCCTCTCACTGTAAGCCATCACCTCTGTTGTGCCCTGCATATTCCCCTGATGAACACAGTTGTCGTCAGAGGGGTGGATGTGTTGAACTCATTTATTATTCAGGCCTCAGTGTGTCTGAAGAGGGACAGCAGTGCAGAGTGGGAGAGGAAAAGCTGTGCTTACTAATGAGGCTTTGTCACAATGATAAAACCTTCCTCTTGCATCTTTCATATAAGGACCCTCTTAAGTACACAAACACGAGAGGCTGTGTGGTGCATTGCGTGTCCTGGCATTAATGATGTGTGTCATATCCATGAGACAGACTCTGCAGAATGTCAGCGCATCTCCTCCTGCAGGCAAGGCAACAGACCTTTCACAGGGTTGTTAATTTGTCTGGACAAATGCTTTATAAGAAGCAACATACTGTTTTATTTTATATCAGAATTCATTCCCAGCTCCAACTGAATGCTTCTTTTAATACTTAGAACAAGATCATCTTGTTGAACACATACAGATTCAGATATTTACACTGTAGGACCAAAATGAATACAGAACTTTCAAAGGTTTTACGGGAACAACATGAAGGGAAATTATGATGTGAAACTGTTCGATTTGTTTTGTAGCCAGAAAAGCCATGTAATTTTTACAGACCAGAGCTCATGACAGCGGGTAACTCAAACATGAGGCATGTGGTTTGATTCTCTCCAGAGTTTTGTTGTACAGTTGTCTTGATTTACTGGATACAGATGCCAATATTCTATTTTTCCTACTGTCAACAAATGCCATGAAAAGACCAAAACCAACAGTTTGTTAGTGTCTCACTACTTTCTAACTTGGATGCGGGATTGAATCAGAGTAAACTACAGCGTGTGTGTGTGTGTGTGTGTTTGTGATAATGAAGGAACATGTTACCCAGGAATATTTGGCTTTGGCTGCACAGATAATACATCTCATTTGGTTTTGGTCTTTTTATGGGATTTATTCATAGTAGGAATAAAGAGCCTATCACTTGACCTGTCATTTAATTCCAGAGAGAAAACCTGAATTACTTCTGTCCAGTTGTCATATGGTAGTGATATTTGGAAGTGCACTCTTATTACTTCTGTCCAGTTAAATATGGTAGTGATATTTGGAAGTGCACTGCATTCACTAAAGAAAAACTGGAGACTTTATCTAATAATAGCAAACATTCTGTAATTAGGAGAAAATGATCTCATAGACTAATGGTGCAGGAATTGGAGTGAATTCAGAATTTGCCTGAGGGTCAGGTTTTTAAGATTTCTTCAATGACAGTAATTTGGTGATACATCCAACAGTACATAGCAAATAGTAACTGTTAATAGCTAATTCAGCATGCTTAAATTTCCAAAAGCTCAAAGGATAACTCAGTTTTTTCCCCTGCTGTATTTCCTCTAAAAGGGCATATGGTGACTCTATAGCTAGAAATAATTTTGCTAGAGTATCACTACCTCCGTTATAGACATTTGAGAAAACTCCAGTTATCAAGTTGATCGGTTAGCCTCAGAGAGAGCTCAGAATAAACATGATTTCAGGCAAATCATTTGTCATTATGTCTGAGTCAGAAGGAAAAGGGGGCAGCCGTTACAGCTAGCTACACAGGATGATCGCCTGATGAGCTGGTCATTGGGTTAGCTGTAATGGCTGCCCAAATCCTGTATCTGCTTTTCTTCTGACTCAGAGATGAAAAATGGTTTTGACTGAAATGTTTATTCTGAGCTCTCTCAGGTTCAATGATTGCCCTGGTGAAGCCGGTTAACTTTGTTTCCTCATATCTCTACAAAATTATCACTAGCTATAGAGTCACCATTCCCACTGTTAGGGGAAATACAGCATGTTCAAAAAACCAAGAAGTTATCCTTCAAGTTGTGGCCCCTCATTGTGAGTACAGTGCCTATAAAAAGTATTCACCCCCTTGGATGTTTTACCCTTTTATTGATTTTATAATTCAATCATGGTCAATATAATTTGGCTTTTTCCAATTTCACATTACATAGTATTTGACATTTATTTGTAAAAACCTGTTTTCACTTTGACATTAAATCGTTTTTTTGTAATTTTGTCAACAAAAAAAAATTATATTGACCATTATTGATTTATAAAATCAATAAAAGGGTAAAACATCCAAGGGGGTGAATACTTTTTATAGGCACTGTATGTACAGTACCACTGGATGCACTGACAACTGTCACTGAGCTACTCTGATACTGAAGAAATCTTAGAACCCCGATGATCCTGAGCCAAGGGCTGAGGTGTTGAACATTATCTCATAATTACAAAATGCAGCCATTATGAGGCAGTAATTCCCAGTCCACACCAAAGGATTGTGGGAGAAATGCTGTCAGAATGTCTTGTGTGGTGGTGAACAGTGTTCAGTGTCACCAGCAGATACGTATAGGTACTTTAATACAAATAGCTTCAGTGGCATTTAAAGTTGTCCAGCAAAAAACAAAACCTCTGCTGCAATTTGTGCAAGATGGACATATGGAAATATTCCTACTCGACAGGGTTTCGGATACTTGTCATGTCAGTGAGAACAGTCTTTCTGTAGCTGTGCTCCAGTTCCTCCATGAACTCCAGGTAGTTGCTGACCTTGAAGCCCTGGATTGGCTCCTCCTGGGGGAAAGGGTGGAAGGAAACATTGTTGTATTGACCACCAAATTAAAGGCACACTCTACCAATAGTTTTTGTATTCCCATAAAGGTCAGTTTACTTGGCATATTTAGTACTAATGTAATCTGTAGAGCTTTGTGGCACATTAGCAGTAACCAGAGTGTTCTACTAGGCTGACAAATTTGCTCATTGGTCAGCTAACGCATTTTCTACAGTTTGTTGCAACCAAGCATCTGTAATTCACTTCGTAAGTTTATGAAATGGTACAAGAGGAGCGAACAGTGCTAAGAAGCAGTTTATGGTGCGAGTTTGAGCCTTACTAGACTCTAGCGGCTGAAAAAAATGAGGTAGAGTAGCTTTAAATTTGGAAACTACAAATGTATTACAGAAAGCCCATATTACAAACTAGAGGCAGATGATTGAGTTTACCAGGAAGGAAGGGTGAAGATGATGGTATCTATAGGTAATGTAGGCTTGAGTGTTTCTGAAGCGAGACCTGTGGGACTAGAGGATATCTCTGCCTTTGCTGCCTCCGTTTTGACCTGAGACTTTGGCTGTCCCCAGAATCATTCCTTATTTAATACAGAGTGCACTACTGTGTGTATATTTACTATCTGAGCTCTTAGTGTGACCTCAGACATGCAGTATGTAGCTGCAGGAGTTAGTTCGACACTGCAGTTGTCAGTGAAGATGCAATATGATCCCCAAGTGGCCAGAACTTCAATTAACTGCTGACTATACAGAAAACTACTGTCTGTTGTAATAGTGAATGAGTAAAGAAGGGAACGATTCCCTTTGTTTCTCACATGCCCTCTACTTTATGTAGCTATAATACTAAATCGCTGGAGGACCACTTTAAAGTACCGGGACATGAGGCAATCAAGTGACCAAAGTGGTTTTTAAAAAACAGACTGTCCATGCTGTTGTAACTGTCACTGTTCATTGGTTCGACTAAAGACTTACAGCTAGAAAAAAACGAAATGTCCTAAGATGTGGCGATAGAAATATGCACATGGGTATTCAGACAGGGGGTGGCTCAGTTAATTATCTTTCACTTTGTTAGGAGGTGAAGTGTAAATAATTTGATAACCCTTTCATTACAATACTATATATTAACCTATTTCATAGTCACCAGAACTCAAATTAAATCCCAGGATCAAATAGTGCACCATGACAGCAAACAACATCTTGGCTATGAATTTAGGTAATGAAGTGTCAGGGGGAGCAAAGCAAACATAGTTGCACAGATATCTTAATACGTGCTAGCATCTCCTCTACCCAGGTACACACATAACAAGATGTCTTAATATGCAGCACTTCACTGCCTGAGAGACATGGATCACACCAGACAAAGGAAACTTTTTATGTGGCTCATTTGTTCAGTCAAGATTTTAATTTCAGCTGCCGTAATTGCTGCCTGAGCTTCAGTGTGCATGTGTCATGACAACATGGGCTCATGGGCAATGCGAACGCTGCAGCAGAGCATATAACTGTGACTGGTGTACATTATTTTGTGAGTGGCATCGTCACTCAGCAGCCTGAGCAATGCTGCACCCAGAGGAGAGACTGCATTCAGAGTAACAATACGCGCAGCAAGCGCCATGAGTTCAGCCTCTGTCATTAACCAGGCTTTTAAAACAGCTGCCACAGTCTAATGACTTCTGCAGTTCGTCAGCACTGTAGTATTCTTTCATCAGCTTGCAGAATGTGTTTTTGGAGAATCTAATTACTTTTTCTTTTATTTTGCAGGTAAACAGTGACAAGGATGTGGTGCAGTGAGAGCACACTTAGCCCTGTGACTACGATTTAAGGTAGGAGACTAATTCTGATAGTTTAGTTCCCATTCTAATATGGCTGAACATTCCCAGACAGGGCCATATGTATACACATGAAGTGGAATCCTGTCAGACCAAGTGAACGGTTTTCTAGAGCCAGCTCTGTGCAAGTTGCAGACAAGATGGCGGACTGCTGACCTTGGTAGGATTTTGGCTCTATTACCTGGAAGCTGTTCACCTCATCAGGGCAACGGCTGGGGTTAACCCAGTTCATAACCCAACTTCTGGCTGAGGAAGACACCATGCAAACCTTTGTCACAATCTGCCATCTTGCCTGCAGCCAGATCCCAATCAAAGGCTCGTTAATAAGTTTGACTTTACTTAACTTTATCATTGTTTCTATTTACATTTGAACCATTATTTCCCCGTTAGTGATCGTCAATGTTAAGTAGTTTACTTACTAAAGTCAGATTCAAGCCAAAATGTTTGGGAATCACTATTTTCCAGATCTAGACCAGTGTAATAATGTAATAAATTTTAATTACCTTAGATCAGTGGCTCTTTTCCCTAACCTTTGACCTCCTAATACAAAGAAATGTTTACTTTTGACTCCTTAACAAAAAAGCTAATGTCCCTGAGTTGTGAGTAGTTTTAAGGGGTTTTTCCATAATAGGAACCTACAGAAACATGTTGCGCTGAGTAAAGCTCGTCATGGGTTCTGTGTTGTTCCAGCACCCCTCAGGAGGTAGTACTGAAATCAAGTACCAAGAACACAAAGGGGGAGGGTGTGTGTGCACACAGAGCAGTTGCCGGTGATTGGTTAAATGTCTGTGCCTTAACATCTCAAGAATTAGCATTACAAGCACCGTGTGTAAACACACAGATGACTGCGTGTGTGAGCAGGATGATCCACGTCAACCCCAGAGGCTATGCTTGGTGATGGTTAAGGGAGGTACAGGGTGTGCTACTCGTTAGGTTCCAATAGTGGAATATCACAACAAAGCAATGATTACAGAAGAGTCAGGAAATCAAGCACAGCTCTGTGTACCCATTTTTTTATTTATGTACTACCCTACTGCCCCCTCTGTTGTTACTCTGTTTGCTCCCTTTACATAATAATAATAATAATGACCTACTGCTCCATTTAATCTTTAATGTTAATCTTCTAGTTCTCTGTATACTTAGCTCCATTACATCTTTGTCTCCTCCAAGATCCAGAACTCTGCAGTCACTGTTTTCAGTGCATGATAATCTGAATCTGTGAGTGCAGAGTTCTGGATCTTAGTGTCCTTATATGGTAAGGAGGACAAAGATCTAATGGACTGAAGTGCACACAGAAGAACAAGATTAATAGCAAATGGAGAGATGGGTTATTATTTAACAGGAGCAAACAGAGTGACGGGGGGCCATTTCCCTTTTCACATTTTAATTTAGATGAAATATAAATATATAGTGAGACAAGATTCATGTAGACGGGTGCAAGTGTCTGTGGTTATGTTTAAAACAAATGCTATAATACTACATCAGTCTGAGTAAGATTGTTCTTTCACAATGTTCCCACAGAGAGCGACGGAGGAGAGAGAGAAAGTTGTTCGATGCAAACCAGCACATCTAAAACAGTTCAGCTCAGGACGCGGTCGGTGTATATTTCTCTTTCACTCGCATTGAGTCTCAGAGCTGTCTCTCACAGCAGTATCTGATGTTACAGCTCATTAGAAGAACGTCCTCAGATAAAGCCTCCATAACTGATCTTTTATTCACACTAACTGTCAGCGGCAGTTCATGGCCATGTTAACACCAGAGCTATCAGCCAGAGACGAGATAGATTGAAATGTTAATAAGTAATGATGATTAGTGCTTCATGTCAAGCCATGTCTCATTCATCATACTAGTGTCTGATGTTGCTTTAGATATAAGTAGAAGTCTTGGAGTTCGTGACTTTAGAAAATCTTTGGGGCCACTCTTCAATTCAGCGTTCATCTGATTCACCAAGCAGAACTTATTTCAACAAAATGTTAACTTTCACAGCAGGCATCTTTCAGCAAACCTGGAAACACACAGGAGGAGGTTTGGTGAACAGATTCTAACAGTTTTTCATTCATTCTGAATGTGAATCATGGATGACGGCTGAATTTAAAAGGGGAGATGTAAAATTCAGTAGAGATATTACAGCATCAACAGCAGAAGACTGCACATACAGATGTTTGAGCCCAAATAAATGAGGCCCCTATTTGTAAGTGAGATGCACTGGAAGTAGTTTTTAATGTTACGTGTTGATGTCTGTAGCTTTACAGATGAGTTTCTGCAAGAGTTTTGTCAGCTGTTAGATTGCTGCATTGTCAAATTTTGAAGCATAGTTTGTGTCAAAACATTATCTTTGACATTTTTTTTATATCAGAAGTCATTTTTTCTTCTCAAAAGATTTGAATTTGAAAGAGTACAGCCTACATCTCTCTACTACCTACCTACGCTATCATATTAACATATAGAGTAATGGCTCACTGAAGATACAGAGGGCCACCTTAAAGGATAAGTTTGGGAGTTTCTAAGTTGGTCTTAGTACAGTAATGATGTATGAGAAGAGGTCTCAGTCGCTGTAACTTCTCTCCACACCGACCCTGAAGGTTTGCACATGGAATGCTGTAAGAAATGAGGGACAAAGACCCAGCCCTCTGTCTGTGAAAGTTTGTCCCGAGTCTCAAATGAGGCTTCATCTGTTCAGCTTATTTGAGTTCATATCATTCAAGGTTTTGATTTATTTACAGTGCCTTGCGAAAGTATTCGGCCCCCTTGAACGTTGCGACCTTTTGCCACATTTCAGGCTTCAAACATAAAGATATAAAACTGTAATTTTTTGTGAAGAATCAACAACAAGTGGGACACAATCATGAAGTGGAACGAAATTTATTGGATATTTCAAACTTTTTTAACAAATAAAAAACTGAAAAATTGGGCATGCAAAATTATTCAGCCCCTTTACTTTCAGTGCAGCAAACGCTCTCCAGAAGTTCAGTGAGGATCTCTGAATGATCCAATGTTGACCTAAATGACAAAGGATGATAAATAGAATCCACCTGTGTGTAATCAAGTCTCCATATAAATGCACCTGCACTGTGATAGTCTCAGAGGTCCGTTTAAAGCGCAGAGAGCATCATGAAGAACAAAGAACACACCAGGCAGGTCCAAGATACTGTTGTGGAGAAGTTTAAAACGGATTTGGATACAAAAAAATTTCCAAGCTTTAAACATCCCAAGGAGCACTGTGCAAGCGATAATATTGAAATGGAAGGAATATCAGACCACTGCAAATCTACCAAGACCTGGCCGTCCCTCTAAACTTTCAGCTCATACAAAGAGAAGACTGATCAGAGATGCAGCCAAGAGGCCCATGATCACTCGGGATGAACTGCAGAGATCTACAGCTGAGATGGGAGACTCTGTCCATAGGACAACAATCAGTCGTATACTGCACAAATCTGGCCCTTATGGAAGAGTGGCAAGAAGAAAGCCATTTCTTAAAGATATCCATAAAAAGTGTCATTTAAAGTTTGCCACAAGCCACCTGGGAGACACACCAAACATGTGGAAGAAGGTGCTCTGGTCAGATGAAACCAAAATCGAACTTTTTGGCAACAATGCAAAACGTTATGTTTGGCGTAAAAGCAACACAGCTCATCACCCTGAACACACCATCCCCACTGTCAAACATGGTGGTGGCAGCATCATGGTTTGGGCTTGCTTTTCTTCAGCAGGGACAGGGAAGATGGTTCAAATTGATGGGAAGATGGATGGAGCCAAATACAGGACCATTCTGGAAGGAAACCTGATGGAGTCTGCAAAAGACCTGAGACTGGGACGGAGATTTGTCTTCCAACAAGACAATGATCCAAAACATAAAGCAAAATCTACAATGGAATGGTTCACAAATAAACATATCCAGGTGTTAGAATGGCCAAGTCAAAGTCCAGACCTGAATCCAATCGAGAATCTGTGGAAAGAACTGACAACTGCTGTTCACAAACGCTCTCCATCCAATCTCACTGAGCTCGAGCTGTTTTGCAAGGAGGCATGGGCAAAAATTTCAGTCTCTCGATGTGCAAAACTGATAGAGACATACCCCAAGCGACTTACAGCTGTAATCGCAGCAAAAGGTGGCGCTACAACGTATTAACTTAAGGGGGTTGAATAATTTTGCACGCCCAATTTTTCAGTTTTTTATTTGTTAAAAACGTTTGAAATATCCAATAAATTTCGTTCCACTTCATGATTGTGTCCCACTTGTTGTTGATTCTTCCCAAAAAATTACAGTTTTATATCTTTATGTTTGAAGCCTGAAATGTGGCAAAAGGTCGCAAAGTTCAAGGGGGCCGAATACTTTCGCAAGGCACTGTAACACAAATTAGTCCCATGTAAGTTTGCTGGTAGCTGGAGTTTAGTTGGAAGTTGTTCTCAGAGTGAACTTTGAACTGAGTTTGTGCTTTGCACATTTCTTAGCTGGAATACTTTTTCAGTTTGTGGTTTTGAGACACCAGTAAAACCTGCTCTGAATCTGTGTTTGGAGTATATATGTGCGCGTTTGACACAATCCAGAGTCGTCTCATCTGTGCCTTGCACACAGGAGAACATGGTTTGTAGCTATGTTTATCCAGGGTGTTCAGACAGAAACAAGTGATGGCTAAGCAGTCAAAATGCACATAAAAATGCCTTTTGCAAAGCTGAGAGAGTTGTGTATATGTGGAGCTAATTTCCACTGTAGGAGAGAAACTGCAGAGCACGGTTGTGGCATCCAGCTAAGAGTAGCTGAGGAGGGGGTCAGTGTAAATTAATGGATAATGAGTTATTAACTAATTTAAAGTTATGTATGTGACAAACTCTGGAGTGCATTTCTGTGCAGAACAAAGACTGGGTATTTTGTTCCTCACTTTTCTTCCTCGTATTGACATTCTGGGTGCCAATGTTCAGAGTCAGTGTGGAGAGCAGAGCCCCTTTTACACTAAATGTAAAAAAGCCATAAAACTGCTGCTCCTGTATTTATTTTATACAGCTCGAATCCCGGTACTAGAGGTGTATTGCTGATCGTGATGTCCGACAGTCACTTTGCAGTCAATTTGAAAATGAAGCAAACAGGCCGTTATTTGTATTTATACATTGTAATCAGGAATTACAGTAGCCTACTACGTGCATCCAATTTCAGGTCTGTGTCTGTCTGAGGGCAGGGCTTCACACACATTCACAAAAAATCCTTTCCCCAGGGTTGTGCAGAGGTGTTTATTTCTGATTTAGTGAAACAACTGCAAGCTAGGACAAAGTTTTACTTCTCTGATTCACTTTGTTTGCGCTGATGCAGCTCATTCCTCATCCAGTTTATACAGGAGATGAGGCAAACTTGTCTCAGCAAAAATACTGGCCCTTGTTGTGGCATTTTGGAGGGTCCACACTAACACCCCCCCGTGACATTTGGTCACGTGTTTTACGCCAGATGCCCTTCCTGATGCAACCCTGACTCGAACCCGGGCCACAGCGGTGAGAGCGCTGCGCCTTAACCACTAGCCTACCAGGGACGGCTTTTAACTACGACCTCAATAATAAACATATAATTGGTTATGTAATATAAATAAATAAATAATATAATCGGTTCTGTACCAGAAACGAATTCCTTGTGTGTAGCATACTTGGCCAATAAAGGTGATTATCATTATCCTTAAACATTTATGATAATTTCACCAAAAACTGAAACCTTAAGCTTCATAAACACAGATGCTAAGGAGGAGGAGGTGTTGTATTGAAGTGCATAGAATTGTGCAGGTGTGACTGCTAATTTGGGGGGGAAGTGTACACTGATCAGACATAACATTATGACCATCTGTGAGATTGTCAAATGTATATGTTCATTATTGAGGTCATAGTTAAAGGTGGTGGTGTACTGGACTACATTAGGTGTTCCTAATATTCTGACCCTTCATCTATGTCAATGGGCAGGACAAAAATATACAAACACCTCTGAATATAATGTAATCCAGAACATCACCACCTTTAACTATGGCCTCAATAATGAATGTATAACTGAATTTATACATTTGACAATTTCACCAGAAACAAACATTTTGAGCTTCATAAACACAAATGTTAAGGCAGAAGTGTTGCACTGAAGTGCATGCAATTGTACATGTGTGACTTTTAATTTGGCTGGGCAGTGCAGAACGGCGCAGTGTAAAAGGGGCTAAAGAGTAATTATAGCAGCCAAGGCCTATTTTCACATCCATATGGGCACATCAGTACTGTATATAGACCAACTTGAAAAATCCTGAACCTATTCTATCCTATAAATGGGCTGTTCTGTCTATAAATTTGCTGCTGCACTGAGGTTTGGTTTCTCTGTGTTTGTGTTTCAGTTCACCTTGAGGAAGACCTGCAGCTCCTGGGACTGTGTACGCTGCAGGATGTCTGGCTGCAGGTGTTTGAATATGGCCACGCACATGTAAACCTGGTAGTCAGGACCCATCACCACACAGGTGGAAATGTAGTGGCAGATTTCTGTCCAGTCCACATAGTTCCAGAAACACTGAGTCAGCCAGTGGAGGCACATCTGTGCAGAGAAACAGAATAAACCTGTCAAAAGAATATTAATACAACCTCTGTGCCCAAGTCTGAGTAGTTCACATTAAGTGCAGGTGAAGGACAAGATGATCCCTGTTATAATCTGAATAAACTGCTTGAATCTTCCCACACATAATGAATCATATGTCACAATACAGTATGTCTCAACTCTGTCTCCTATTAGTCTGGTTTAAACTGGTCAAGAACAGTTTAAGTACCTGAACTAACACAGCTGTATGATGTTCCTCTGTAGTCTATATGTGTAGAGTCTCTACTTGCCTAATTTGCTCTATCAGCTTTTCTAAATGAATCTTTATGGAAACATTTTACTTTCAGAGTTAAAATGATAATGTGCAGTGCAGAATATTGAAGTGGGATTAGGGGGGGAAAAAGACAAGTTGTTCCATGCTAATGTGTATTTCTCCAGCTGAGGACTGCACTGAGATCAGTGATATTAATGCAGTGGTTAAAAAAAGGGTTCCCGTCTGTTCTCAGTGATAAGAACACAAAGTACTACAGCATCCAAAGAAAAATGGTCTATTTACCTACTGAGGACAAAGGGTTTAAAATCAAAAAGCAGGCGGTTTGTTTATGATCAGCTGGACAAAGCTGTTAACTGTCAGAGGACCTAAAGTGCTCCACATATACAGTAATAAAAGTTAAACAATATTTAGCTTAAGAGAATTAAGTTCTCTTACAGCAGCATTCTATGATGAAACTGAACAAGCCTGCTAGAACGATAACACAATTGAAAACAATGGAGGGAGGGGGCAGGGCAAACAGTACTGCCAAACAAACAGAGGGGCACTTTTAACTAATGCTACAAACAGCCTTTCTAAATAATTACATTTTTGTATAGTGCCAATTAACAAAAAATCTCAGAGCACTTTGAGAGTAAGGTCTAGACCTTACAGTATTTTAGGGAAAACCCAATAACTCTCAAGCACAACTATATGCCACAAGATGAAAAGTCTGGGGATCATTGAAGTTATCATAATTCAACCTTAAGGGGACATGAATGTGTACCAAAGTTCACATCAATCCTTCCAGTAGCTGTTGAGACAATCCATTAAAAATAAACACAAACATGAATCGCATTATAGCGCTAGACACAAAGTCAAGGGTGTCACCAAGGTCCACCACAAACATCTGTGCCAAATTCCAGTGGTTGTTGATATTTCACCAAACACAACAGAAAAAGACCAACACTGCCACCCCTAGAGCCACATGGCTGGGATGTATAATAAAAACACAGCATGCTGAAAGTCCAAAGCCTGATAGAAAATACTCTCCTCTTGGCTGAACTCTGCTGTTCCCCATTTCAATTTTACTACAATCAGTACCATTGAATCTGAGCTTCGTGCCTTTACATGCAGTTTTCCAAACATTCAACAGACTAAAGCCAGTGCACACACTGGGTTTTAACCAACTGTCATGCTAATAATTAGCCACTGTGTTCACAACACTAATCTGCTCAAGCATACAAACGAGCTCCAAGAATGTTGGATTATTCTCTCTGCCTACTTAGATAAACTTAATAGAAATACCGACATCCTTGTTTGTGTGTTGTAATAAATATGGGGGAAAAACTGGGCCCATGCTGCCCTTTGTTTTTAAAACCCTCAGGCAGAAAAATAAGTCCACACTACTTTCTGTGACTAATCTATTTCCCTTTGAGGTCACTCCAAGAGCAGCTGTTTTTCTGCAAAATGTTATTAATGTTCCTGTGAGCTAAAACTTGGGGGTCAAAGGTGAATACGACTGTATTCTCACAGTATTCTTTATTTCATTTTCCTTCTACCATAAACAGGCTTTCAGAGCCATTATTAATCTGAGCAGGTCAGGTCACCGAAGGATTGAAATCCGCTTCCGATTTCAAGCAAAGAAGATGCTACAGTAATAATAATAATAATAATCTTTATTTGTACCGCACTTTCCAGCTCAAGAGCACAAAGTGCTACAGCAATAAAAGCATAGTAATACAATATCAGTTAAGAACACTCACAAACAGACAGAAGCCAAATAGATATCCAGCGTCTGATATAGGCCAACTCCCACCCAGCCGGCTCAAAACATAAAGCAAGACCTTAAAATCTACTCTCCATTTAACAGGCAGCCAGTGAAGGGATAGCAGAACCGGAGTGATATGGGCATGCCGACGAGTGTTTGTCAGCAGACGGGCAGCCGCGTTCTGAACAAGCTGGAGCCTGGAGAGTGATGACTGGGATAGCCCTGAGTACAGGGCATTGCAATAGTCAAGCCGGGAAGTCACAAACGCATGAATAGCTTTCTCTAAGTCACTGCGAGAGAGAAATGGCTTCACCTTTGCTAGCAGTCTTAGCTGGTAGAAGCTGGATTTAACCACTGACTTGATCTGATTATCAAAGTTAAAATCAGCATCAAAAATTACCCCCAGATTTTTTACCGCATTCGAGAGCGGGGGGGCATATGTGCCTAGATCAACTGAACTTCCGTCCAACTTAGGGCTGATAACAATAAATTCAGATTTTCCTTCATTTAAGTGAAGGAAATTCTGACTTAGCCAAGTTTTGACATCCTGTAAACAGTGTTGCAATGCAGCAAACGAACCTGACTCCGGATGAACCAGCGGCATATAGATTTGAATGTCATCAGCATAAAAATGGAAGGGAACGTTGTGGCTAGATATAATGGCGGCAAGCGGTGACAGATACAAGGAAAATAACAAAGGGGCCAGAATGGAGCCTTGGGGAACACCTGACGACAGGGAAGCTGCGCCGGAAGAATGGTCACCAATCATAACCGAATAGGTTCTATCGGTAAGATAGGACTCAAACCACCTTAGCACCTCCCCATCCAGGCCAAAAAGGTGCTGGAGTTTTAAAAGTAAAGTGGAGTGGTCCACTGTGTCAAAGGCCGCAGTGAGGTCCAGCAAAGCTAAGATAACTGGACGCCCAGCATCCAAGGCTAATGCAATATCGTTATGAACCTTGAGTAAAGCAGACTCAGTGCTGTGTCGGGCCCTGAACCCAGATTGAAATTTATCCTCCAAATCTATAGATTTTAAGTGAGTTTGCAACTGAGTAAGGACCAACTTCTCCATAACTTTAGCAAGGAAAGGCAATAGGGATATTGGCCGAAAATTTCCTAATACCGTGGTGTCAAGGTTGGGCTTTTTAAGTAGTGGTCTAACAACCGCATGCTTAAGGGTCGGAGGAACCGAACCAGAGCTCAAGCATGAGTTAACAAAGTTGACCAGCCCAGGGCCAATACAATCAATAACTTCTTTAAAAATCTTCCCTGGTAGGGGATCAAGCGGAGAAGCAGCGGGTTTGAGCTGAAGCACACATTTTTTAAGTTCTGAGAGGGACACCTGAGCAAACGAGGTGAAGGTATCACCAGGGTAGGACACAGCTGGGGCATAAGGTGGTAGACGTTGAGGACTCACTCTGATGGCCCGGACTTTTCCACTAAAATGCACTAAAAAGTCGTCACACAAAGTATTAGAAGCTTCAGAAAACACAGCACTAGAGGGATTGATAACCGAGTTTATAGTCTTAAAAAGAACTCTCGGCTGATGCCTATTCTCCGAGATAATTTGGGATAAATACTGAGACTTAGCATTGCTAACAGCTCTATGATAGTCCTGGCAGCAGGCTCTTAGGATGTCTAAGGAGACTTGCAGACCATCCTTCCGCCATTTCCGCTCTGCCTGCCTACACCGCCTCCGACAGGCCCGCGTGACGTCGTTCAGCCAAGGATCAGAGAGGTTCCTGGTTCTTTTCCTCCTCAGCGGAGCAACAGAATCCATAATCCGGACACAGGTGGCATCAAATGCAGAGAGGAAAGTCATTGGCTGCGTTTCAATAGAGTGTAGGTCTGCTGCCAAGAAAGCAGAGGCAAAGTCTGCCGATGTAGAAGAGGTAATAATCCTCCGAGAATGACCAAGGGTCCTCCGGGTGGGGGCCGACTTAGGTCCCTGAAGTTCAAAGCGAAGAACCCAATGATCGGAGATGGCTAAATTAGCCACATCGCTAATGGAGATGGCCAGACCTCGAAAAATAACCAAGTCCAGCATACCCCCCTCGATGATGGGTGGGGGAGCAGACAGCTTGAATGGGATCAAAGGACTCCAGGAGATCATTAAAATCCTTAGCTAATTGATCTGAGGGGTTGTCCACGTGAATGTTAAAGTTGCCACAGATCAAAAAATAGTCAAATTGTGGAACAAATGTTGCTAAAAAGTCCCCAAAGTCAGTAATAAAATCCTTTGATCGAGGAGGGCGGTATATGACTACACATAAAATGGGTGACTGCTGGAGAAGAGTAAAGGCTTGGAGCTCAAAAATGGGATAGGTTTTCCCCTGGAGAAGGCAGCATTTAAGAGTCTGCTTGAATACTGACGCTACGCCACCCCCTCTCCCAGTAAGGTGAGGGGTATTGAGAAATAAATGTTTAAGTCACGACATGTTACTAGAAGTCTGTGAGAATGTTTTTAGCTACACCCCACTTAATCAACAGAGACACACACGCACACTGATTTGCTTCATGTTTTGACTACTGCTATGGCCAGCTGCAAGGCTGGCAACAGAGACGTCTCAGGGCCAGGGCAACCTGCAGAAAGGTACAGGGAGAGAGAGAGGACACACTACGGGAGAGAGGAGACACAAAGTTAGTAATGTGTAATGGTGGTGAAGGACTTTGGTTCTTCTTACCATTGCTAACTCAGAGACGAGACAGTCCAAGTAACTACAAAACAGTGCTGATTTATTCAAAGGATCACAGGTAAAATTAACATTACACGCTCAGGTATCTTGCACCTCCAAACTGCACACAGGCAGATGTAAGACGAAAGACCCTGAACCCACCAGGCCTATACATTATATCCCCTCGGTTGGGCTAGCCCCATACTACACAGAAACGTCAACCGAGACGTCTCT